CATTGTCGTTGATACGGATTTACTGTGCACAAGTAACAATGGTTTATGGTTACAATACCAAAGAAAACGAATTGCATACACCAGTTAAAATCCGAATATCTACTAATTTTACCGATACATTTATGGGTGAGTTGGTTTCATTTGTTGAAGTTTCTCTGAGCAGTAAAAACGAAACAATTGTTGAACTACCAAAACCGCTTTTAATCAAGCCTGGAATTCAGTATAGAATTCAGTTTATGCCTGATCATGGTTGGTTAAGTTTGTTGTGCGGTCATCTATCAACTAGTTCTTACGTGGAATGTTCTCAAGGAATTAATATTTCATTTAAGCATGCTGATTCAAGTTACGAGTCAAAGGGCCAAATAATATATCGTATGGACTTCGTGAAGCGAAATGAATCCAAACATTATTGGACATGAGAAAAAAAATATTTGCAGTGCGTCAATAATTACAATAGTATTATATTGATTATATATTGAAGTAATATGCAAAAGGTAGTAAGTTTAAAATTTAAATTATCTCTCTGTACACTAAGCAGAGTACTCTGTTTGGAACGGTTTGGAAGTAAAGAGCTTTTATGGTTTTTTCCTTTTTCAATTTTGAAATAAAACTCCCTGAAAATCAAAGCTCTTTCATTACTGTATTAATATAGTTATCATAGATGTCAAAGCGGAGATCTTTTTTCAATTCATTAATTTAAGTAAATTTTATACTTTAAATGTATGAATAATGTTCCTCAATGCATCAAATCCATTTAGATCAAATTGTGTAGAAGATTGAAATATGATTATTAAAAATATCTATTGAAATGTATTGAAAACAAATAAAAGACACGAAAAAATATCGCATTCACCCACTTTTATTCTTTTGTTAAAACAACACATATAATTATTATTCTGACCAATTGTCAGTATATTAAAAGAACGCCTTTATTACACTGCATTACGTTGTCTCTCTTTTTGTGTCGCGTTCTACCAAATTCGGTAAAACTTGCTAATAACTGACCTGTACGACTTGATACTTTGGTTTTGTAAACAAAAAACTTGTTATTATCGTACATTCTGTTTGTGCACCCCGGCATCAGTTCTCTTTTGATTCAAGTGCAGTAAACATTTTATCAAACCTGCACAAGAGAAATTGAGTATTTTGCTTTATTTTTATACAATTGGTGTTATCTTCTTTATTATCAAAAAGTAAGTATGACTTGATAAAAATAAAAAAAATTATCTTAATACCCATGTAATTCATTTGCGGAGTAATTTTGACGATGGCGGGATTGTGCGGAGCTTGGCGGAGATGACATACAAACTCTGTGTGTACGAGGGTAACAGCACATCTATGTGTATCATTCTTACGCAGATGATTAGTAACTTAGCTGTGTGTACGGCTACTAAGATGTTCGTTTGGACAAAATAAATCTATGTACAGCAAAGAATGCTGTTGCACTCGTACACACAGCATTTGCATGCTATCTCCGCCGAATGCTGTGTGTACGAGTGCACAGTCCCGTCATCGACAAAATTGCTCCGCAAATGAGTTATATGGGTAGAGAACATTTTGGTTGTTTTATTTTTCTGCACACCTAGTGTAGAAATGGTATTTTTTTTATTCATTTACGGTCAAACGAATACACGCGAACACTTTTAACAACAAACAACAATAAATGCATAAAATCGCCAAATTTACGAATAAATATACGTCTATATATGCAAAATTGCGCGTTGTCTGCATTTCAAAACAGAAACAGATAACTAACACGAATGCAAACGGGTGTTTGTAGACCGCAACCGGTTCAACGATGGAATTGATTAAAATAAGTCGCATCGCCATAGCACGAGTCGAGTGCTGATTATGACCGTTTTCTTTTCGGCATATTCGTAAATAACAATGCACACAAAACCAAACGTGCATATGTATATTATATCACAATAAAAGAAAGCTTGATTTGTTTTGATTTTCAATTTTTGGAGCGTTTGGTGCTGGTTTTGTGTGCTTCACGATCACTAGTAAACAATATAAGTAGGTGTGTACTGGTGCTAAAATTAACAACTCGAGTTAAGGTTAAATACAGAGTTCTTGGGTGATAATTTTCATTTTAAACAATCGACGCGATAAACGCAGTTATTTTGTGCATTTAATGAGTCTGGCTGCGCAAAATTGCTGATTTCAAGTATTAAATTAAAGTGAAGAAGGTAGTTGTAGTTAAATGATATTTGGTATGATTGAACTGCACATTAAATTATGCAATTTTTGCTTGAGTTCACTCTGTTTTCATTGCAGTTCCACTGGGATTGGTAGCAGAACGCAGATTTTCGTACAAAAAGTGATAAACTTCTACCGTTGTAATCTTCCATCGCCTTCTTCGCGATCTCCTTTTGGATCATAAATTTATCGCTTCAAATCGTGTTCCTTTCCAAAATGACCGATGCCATCGTCTATAAAAATGTGTTAGCCTGGCGTGGCTGTGAAAAACTATACCTTGACGATCGAACATGTGACGTGTACTTCCTTTTCAAATGCCACGAAGAAGAGTATGAAAAGGTGCCAGCGCATAAATGCATTCTCTCCGCTGGCAGCCCTGTATTTGATGCCATGTTCTTTGGTCCACACAAGCAAACCGGCAATATAAACATAATCGATTCAACACCGGCCGCATTTCGTGAGTTTTTACAATTTTTCTACCTCAGTACGGTGAAATTGTCGGCCGAAAATTTGCCCGAAGTAATGTATCTGGGAAAAGAGCACATG